AGTCAATGGAATACTGTTCGGACTTGAACGTTGAGATACAGTAATATCGGAAAGAAGTATTTCACCATGAAGAATTATATCATTTGTTGGCGAGCGAACTTCAAGAACAATATCAACGGTACCACTATATTGATCACGTTGTTCATTTAATTTAGATAATTCTAATTCTAATTGATAATCAATAGGATAAACATTTGTTGGTAATCGACTTTGATTCCATGGAGCATTAGGATTAAGAGACGTCTTACAACACTCAAAACTCAAACATGGAATATTGGATTTTCTTGATGTCAAACTTCGTTTTGGTCGAGAATAATAGATTTGTCTTGATTTAGGCTGATCTTGTTTGATTACTTCATTATTATTTATATAACATATAGTACCTTCAACCCAATACAATGAAATTATTGAAACAATGAATGCCGATAAAAGAAAAACCACAAACAATAAAGCACATATAGGTATTGTTAAACTAATTTTTTTGTGTAGAAATGATCGTTGTGGATAACTTCGTTCAAGCAAGATCACATCATCTTTATTGTTCTCCATGTAAATTCTTTTTTTTTTTTTGTAAGAATAATACTGAAATCTTTTCGTTATAAATATACTTTAATTTATAGTCGATGTTGTAAAGATATCATTTCCTACCATGATCGTTTTATTATAAGGTTCGATGGACTTTTTCTTTTTATATTTCATTTTCTTTTCTAAATATGGTTAAATCTCGAGTGTCTTTTATAGATGTATGAAACTATTGTAAAATCAGACTATCATTTCATACTTGAGCACCATCCTTAAAAGTTTATTATCGTCGAATCATAAAAAAAAAACCGTCAAGGACCACGATAATAACGAAAAATTGAAATAGATGTTATTAGTACAGAACAAATCAATGGTGAAATTTGCTAAGATCGGGCTAAATAACGCTTCAATTTAAACAACGAATATAGTAGAATAAGTGAACCTCTCAATATTTCTGCCATTTCTTATTGTTTCGGACTGAATTCTTTTTTTCCAATAGAAACAGCATGAAATTCGCTACAAAACCGTAGAGAAGTGTTGGCTAAAAAGACACAAGTAAAACATTTATTCAACAAGTACTGGGACACAATGTATTGCTAACAGATGGCAACAATAAAATTGAGTTTTTTCGTATTTCTTGTGTCCTTGTATTGAAATACGAGAAAGCTTTATTGTCCATGCTGTGAAGTTTGAAAAGCTAACTTAATAATTTTCTTAACAAATGTCTTTCGTATAAAATACATATTCCTTTTTTTTAGATTTAAGAGAACAACACGTCTTTATAACTCAAGTTTTAGTGTTCTCGACCAGACGATTTATTCAAGAGAAAACAGAAGATAAAATCTGGTTAACGGGAATCTTGTATCCGGAGAATAGACTTTTTTTCAATAGTTGTTATCGTGATCTAATTCTTCATATATATGACATTAATTCGAGTATATTTCATTGTGTGTGAAATAATGCTTTGAAGCATTTTAGCAATTGTTTATTAGTCAAAATAAACAAAAAATTGTGTTGCAAACAGAAATCTCAAAGGGCCCGGCTGAACCGAACAAAGCTGGTCAATAGGTTAACGACCTTTGATCCGACCTAGCCCATGATTTTTTTTCTTAGAAAATGACCCACCCGTGAGCCATTCATCGAATAGTTTTAATAACAGCATATGCCAATGGTTATTGTTTCAAAAGAATATTGATTCGTTCTAATGTATACTGTGTTGTATATGATGATGAACCAGCACCGATAGTTGAAGAAAAAGTGCTAACAAAAATTAACGATTGAGAAGGTTCAGCAAAAATAGAATTACAATTAGAAAAAGTAATTGATAATGAACGATGAGGGCTAGACAAGGACATTTTGTTGAATATAAAGAAAGTTTTGAAAATTTGATATTTTATTTAACATTCAGCCAAAGGACTGAGCTCAGTCCGACCTATTGAGATCTCTGATTGTGAATCTATGATTGAAATTTGTTAGCAATACGTTGTCAAGATACTTGTCAAATAAATGTTTTGCTTCTATTTTTTTAACACACCCTTTCCTATGATTCCATAGACAATTTCATGCTACGGTTTTTGAAAAAAAAAAGTTCAGTCCAAAACGATAATAAATAGCAAAGAGATTGACAGATTCATTTATTTTGCTACACCTGCTATTAACTGACATTAATTGAAAGTTATCATCGAACGATTTAAATAATGTATATATGACAAAATTGATTTTTAATAGTAAATGAAAGAAATAATACATCATCTAATTAATCCTAGTAAAATCTAATTATATCTGCACAAAAAAATATCTTTTACAAAGAAATATAAAAATAGAATACACGAAGAAAAAAAAAAGAACAATATTATATATCTGACATAGTTAATTTTATTCATTTTGTTCTTCATCAACTTGCTCTTCTTCTTCCTCTTCTTCAGCTTGATTTTCTTGATGACTTGTTCGTAATGTTCGTTGTTCATCAGGTATACCATCCAAATTAAAACGAAAATCTCGTACAGAAGACATTTTAAATGTTTCTAATAAACGTTTCTAAAATAGAAAACAAAAACAAAAATGAAAATATATTGCAAACTATTAACATACATCTTGTTGTTTGCCTAATTCAAGTAGTGATCGTTCATATTGTTCCATTTCATAGACTAATTTTGGTACTAATGTATCTTTAAGTACACTTTTTTTCTAAAGAAAGCGAAAAAAGAAAACAAAGAGATATATATATAGTTTATTATTAAATTCAATTCTATGCCTTTTTTGGATCTTTCTTATCTGTTTTTTTCTTTTTCTTTTTGACTGTTTCTTCTTCATCATCTAATTCCAAACTCTAAAAACAAAAAAAATAAAGATTTCTTTAATTTTCTATCTTATATATATAAATTACCATTGTATAAGTTAAAAATCCATAACAAGGTTGTTGTAATTGTGAACCAGATATTGATGCAAGTTTTTCAAATTCATCACGAATTGGTGTTTTATTTTTAATCATCTATTAGAGAGAAAGAAAAAAAATAATAATAATTGAAATTGATAACTTTGATTTATACCTGACGAGTAAATTCATCAAGAATAGTATATAATTTAGTTAATAATTTAACTATATTAATAATTGTCATTTTATTTTTTAATCGACATTGTAAAATTTGTCCAAATGTTGTTAATGAATATGATAATTGTCCACAAAAATGTATTATTTGATCATGTGATAATATTTGAGTTTGAATTATCCATTCAAGACTATTTATCATTCGTTCTAAATCAACAATAACAATATTATTTAATATAACCATATGAGTTTTTTCATTAATTATAGCAAAATATGGTTGATGAACAAATTTAGTCTAGGAATAAATAAAAGAAATATTTAGAATATAATTTAAAAAAAAATGAAGTTTACATCTTCTGAAACATCTTCACATTGACCATGAATATCCATAGCAATTTTACGAAGAAGTGGTGCATGATTACTAATTTTTGATGAAAGTTTAATAAGAAGACGAACTAATGCTTTACTTAGTTGATGATCCTCTAAAATAAAATATGATAATATAAGTGTAATATATTAAAATGAAGTAGATCAGAGATTCATAAATTGTGTTGTGTTACACGGATTCGTTTCACTGCGAGACCGTACTAAAATGTTTGGAGATAGAGTACCATTTGATTGAGCAATTTTCCCTTTTCTCTTGACTATATTGTTATTTTTTTAAAAGAATATATCTAGTGATAGCCATTGGTACTTGTTTTATATTTCGAAAGTCTATATATATATATATTTAATTGAGGTTTTTTAATGTAACAAAAATAAAATGAAGATTGTGACATTATAGTGTTCAAGACGAAGATGACGAAGTCTTTATTCACTCGTTAAACAATCATATTGAGTCTTATACAGTCATATTTTAATAATTCATAAAACTCAGTACTACGATTGTATGTCTCCGTGACTGTATACGAAACAATAAGATCATACTAGTAAGTTTCCACACAAAGTGCACAACTGTTCTTTCTTTACTATTGATTCTAGCTTGTTAATATCTGACTCTTGACATTTCATACGCTTAAGTAGATACTGTACAATGTTTGCTAAAAAATCATAAGATTGTAGAAGATTCTAGATTTATTGTAATCATGTTAAGATTTCCTCGGTAATAGGCACACATACACAAACTTATTCAACATTATCTATACAGATATGAAGAAATATGAAGTTAAACTGAGACTGTACATAATGATGTGATATATCTTAGAACATATATTATGATAAAATATGAACATTTAAGCAAAAGTTTAATTGAAAGAATTAAGTGGTTAAAGAAAGTAAAACTTAAATGGACTATTTTACAGACATTCACTATGATTTTTACTTTTGATTATAAACAACGTGATCTTTGAGAATAAAATTTTTTCATGCACTCTTACAATAAATACCTATCGCTTCGATTGGTAAGCTCTAGGTACATAAAGTGAGTTTATCGAAAAAGTTATTCATCATACCGTATTTTCCTTGCATACAAGTTGAACTAGCCCATTCAGCAAATGATTGATATTCATTTCGATCAATATGTTCTCCATCTTTTAATGCTAATTCAAGAATATCAGCAACATAAATTAATGCTTTTAAACAACCCGATGCTTTTGCTGTTGATCCATCAACACCAGCTGTTTCTATTATTCGATTATATTCACCTTCAATTCGTTTATAAATTGCCTAATTTTTATTAAAAATATTTTCTTTCTTATCATTAAAAAAATTTGATATTTTTTACTTTAAAACTTTCAGCAAAACGAGCTGTTTGAGGATCAGTTTGACTATAACTTATATTTGAATCAATTGCATCAGAATCACCAGATAATATTTTCATTGCACTATCAATCATTGAAGCTGCTGCACCACGAAAATTATTTACAATAATTTTCCATATTTCTACAATTAATTGTAAAATTTGTTCTGTTAATATAATATTCATATCTTTTGTTACAGCTTGATATAAAATTCTATTCAATTTAAAAAAAATTAAAAATTAATATTTTTATTTTTCTTTTATCTTTTAACATACGCATGAAGATCAATTAACATCATTTGTAATTTTTCTTGTCGCATATTTTCAGCATCAAAATAATATTTAATACCATTTGATGTAATCGAACGTAATTTTGATAAACAACATCGCATAACATATGTACGATAATTTATATCATCAATAAGTAAATCAATATCAATATTATGATTTGATGTATCTAAATCAGCATTAAACATTTTCGACCATAAAATTGAATGTAAAAATCTTTTTAAACATGTAAATGAAATAAGTTTTCCTGTTGTTGGCAAACGTAATTTTGCTTTAGACATTTTATCATAAAGACGAGATTCTTGATCAATTGATTTTAAAATACATGCAGTTGATTCTCTATAAAAAAAAAAAAAAAAAAAAAATTAAATTTTACAATAAAAGAACTCGTTTATTGAACTTACGACTCTTTCATTCGCATAAATTTATATTCAATAAGAACATTACATATAT